GTCAAAGAAAAGGGAACAACAAAGAAAAAGGGGCGGACTGGAGAAAAAAGGCCCGGGTGGACGGTAAATGGCCCCTCCCATAGGGAATAAAAGAGGAGCGAAAGGGGAGGGGAGGATGCAGGAGACAATTAGTTCAATTCATTAGGGAGAAGATCTGTTCCTGACTTCTTGCCAAGTAATTGCTGCTACAGCGTGACATTTAGAAGATATCGTCCTGGCGCTCTCCACGCCTGATAAAAGTCTGTAGTTGTGAAATCTCTTGAAAGACTATTGGCCGGGACTTTGCTGGAGAGGAATTCACTTTAAACTAAATAAAAGAGGTTTTATCGAACAAGGAGTCGGCTTCGTGCTTTTGGGAAGCCTAGGTCAGAACCTGTGCAGTTTCTTGACCTGCGTCTCTTGGGAAAGTTCTGCGTTGGCAAAATAGTATAGTATAGCCTTTATTGTCACTGTACAAAATAAATACAACAAAATTGGTATAAAATCTTACCCCTCTGCTGCTGAAGGGGCACATTCAATTACATCTTCATGCTGACAATATTTTACAGGAACCTTTTTGGTTTCTCTTGCTCAGAATCTGGCCCAAGCTTTCTGTTTGCATCCAGCCGAGAAGAGTGTAATCCCCATGGAACGCTGGTGTTTGGTGAAAGTGGCCTTGTTCGGTATCCCCGCTTGGCTGAAGACAACTACCTTGATAATAGGTATATATTTACCACAGGTGCTGAGCTTCCTTGAGGGACATTACTAAGTGGACTGCCTTGCTAGGATTTTTTGGAACAAAAGGAGAGTTTGTTGATAAAGATGCAATAGAACAGGGGTATCAAACTCAAGGCCCAGGGGCCGGATACAGCCCATGGGATAGTTAGATCTGGCCCACAGGGCCAACCTGGAAACAACAAAGGACCGGCCTGCGGTGTTTCTGCCAGCGAAAATTGAGTTTTCACTCCGTTTTCACTGACAAAGGGTTGCAGGAGGCCGTGGCAGCTGAAAATAAAGCTTGGGACCAATACCTGTGATTTCTATTTTAGGCTAACTTCTCCATTATTGGTTCACCAAGCCATGAACTAAACAACAACAACAGAATTTTAATTTTTCGTAAGTACTCTATTATGGAGCCAGGATAGTGTAGTGAAGTGTTTTTCAAACTTGGCAACTTTCAGTTGTGTGGACTTCAATTCCCAGAATTCCTGGGAATTCACACACCTGAAAGTTGCCAAGTGTGAAAAAAACTGTAGTGGTTAAGGCAAATAAGAATGGGGAGGTCCACCCTCATCCATGGGAGCTTACTGGGAGATCGTGATCCAGTCAGTCTTTCTTAGTCATCTGAGTCACACTCTTGTTGTTGGGAAAATATGACAAAGGGGCCTTATATATGCTGCCTTAGGTTTCTAGACAAAAGGCAGGATATAAATACCATAACTACGGATCCTTTATCAGTGGTGGGATTCAATTTTTTTTTACCACTGGTCCTGTGGGTTTGGCTTGGTGGGCGTAGCAGGGGAAAGATACTGTAAAAGCTCCATTCCCTCCGCACTCCTGGGGGAAGGTTACTGCAAAATCTTCATTCCCTCCCAATCAGCTTGGACTCAGGAGGCAGAGAATAGATGGGAGCAGGCCCAGTCAGAGGTGGTATTTACTGGTTCTCTCAACTACTCACAATTTCCGTTACCGGTTCACCAGAACTGGTCAGAACCTGCTGAATACCACCTCTGTCCTTTATGTTCCTATTTTCTCCGTGTGGTTCAATCTCCCCGTCGCATGCAAGCAAACAAATAAAAGTTGAGGGAGATGAATTTGCTGCTCTATTCTTTTGGGATACGTTTGTAGGTGGTAGAAGAAGAATCAGTGCAAGGTGTTTTCCACCGAGGGGTCCATGACAGTTCCTGACTCCAGGAGCTCAGTAATCTCATGTCTTCTGCCCAAGCCGTACTTTAAATTGTCTATTTCCAGCTGGTGTGTTTGGAACCTAACTGTATCTGAAGATAAAATCATTCTGGTGGAATTTATCAAACTAGACGTAGAAGATCAGATTGAATGTGACCATGACTACGTTGCTTTCTATTCAAGTGAGAAGGAATTAATTGGTAGGTGGAAGGTCCCTCGTGCAATTCTTTGTGAAATTTCAGTCTATGATTTAGGAAGCTTCCCTTGACTGACTATTTCTCTGTCTAGCCCAGTGCATCAATTATGACTAACAGCTGCTCTCTGGAATGGTGGCTTTTCTGACATAAAGGAAAGTTTTAAGGGTTGAGTCTGGGAAATGTGTTTGAGAACCTGCCATCTCTTGCGGAAGGTTCCTCTGAGTTGGAGACCAAATTGGTGCAATGGTAGATCCAAATTCAGTGATAGAATAATCCCCCGTCTTCTTTTTCTGACTTCTCCTGTTTTCTCTCTCTCTATTTCTGCTACCATGCCCTGCAATTGGATGGAGGTGAAGGACAGTTAATCTTACCAGATAGATCAGGGGTGTCAAATTCAAGGCCCGGATCCAGCCGTAGGTTGCTAAGATCTAGCCTGCAGAGCCGCCCTGGAAACATGAAGGAAGAACTGGCCTGCGGTGCCTCTGCCAGTGAAAATGGAGCTTGGGAGGGCAGTGTGTGGTCCTCCCAAGCTCCATTTTCACTGGCAGAGTGTTACAGGAGGCCATTGCAACCAAAAATGGAGCTTGGAAGGGCCACACACTGCCCTCCCAAGCTCCATTTTCACTGGCAGAGTGTTACAGGAGGCCATTGCAACCAAA